GTTTCACCTTGTTAGCCAGGATAGTCTCAATCTCCTGACCTCATGACCTGCCTGCCTCGGCCTCCCAAAGTACTGGGATTACAGGCATGAGTCACTGCGTCCAGTGGGCTGAGCAATACTTCTAAGAAGGGCCATACACACACTACTCCACTGTGATTTCATCATCCTTACCCCGTAACTCCTGGCATTTACAGTCAGAACACCAATGAAACCACCATTTCCAAGGGGACTGTGACCACTAAACATGACACCTGCCAGCCGCTCAAACACTAATGATCACCTCTCCTCTCCTTCCTGAAAAGGTCCTGGTCAGGCTGGGTGTGGTGGTTTACACCTGTAATCCCAGCACTTTGGGAAGTCAAGGTGAGCGGATCACCCAAAGTCAGGAGTTTGAGACTAGCCTGGCCAATATGATGAAACCTCATCTCTACTAAAAAGAAAATATACAAAATTAGCCAGATGTGGTGGCATGCACCTATAATCCCAGCTACTCGGGAGTCTGAGGCAGGAGAATTGCTTGAACCCAGAAGGCAAAGGTTTCAGTGAGCTGAGATTGCACCATTGCACTCCAGCCTGGGCAACAAAGCAAGACTCTGTCTCAAAAAAATAAAAGAAAAAGACCCCATTGCGGGGGTCGCATATTCTTCCTCTTCAGGGGCCCCTTCTGGGCTGGCTCTTTCCTGTTTCCTTTGCATCAGTGAAGCGCAGGATAACACAGAGTTGAAAAAATCAGATTTTAAAGCTGAAGCACAGATCAATTAATTGTGTGACCCAGGCAGGTAGCTTCACTGTGGGGCCTGTAAAACAGCATGGGCACCTGCACCTGACTCATAGGTCTGCTGAGAAAACTTGGCCATGAAACACATACAATACTGGCCTGGTCCCTCACCTGGCTCACAGCAGGTGCTCAAGGTTTGCCATCACTACTGCTATCTCGTAAAGGTGGGCAGTCTTAAACCACATATGGGAAAAAGTCATTCAGACATTTGTTGGCACACTATATAAGAACATACTCACAGCTGGGTGGTAATGCCGGAACTTCAGGAGGCTGAGGCAGGCAGATCGCTTGAGCCCAGGAGTTCAAGATCAGCCTGGGCAGTTACAAGATTTTTTGTTTTGAGACAGAGTTTCACTCTGTTGCCCAGGCTGGAGTGCAGTGGCATGATCTTGGCTCACCACAACCTGGACCTCCTGGGTTCAAGTGATTCTCCTGTCTCAGCCTCTCAAGTAGCTGGGATTACAGGTGTGCGCCACCACACCCAGCTAGTTTTTTTTATTTTTAGTAGAGACAGGATTTTGCCATGTTGGCCAAGCTGGTCTTAAACTCCTGACCTTGGGTGATCTGCCCTCCTTAGCCTCCCGAAGTGCTGGGATTACAGGCCTGAACCACTGCGCCCAGCCGCAATTATGAAGTTTGAAGTATAAGCATGCTGGTAAAACCACACACCAGCCCACGAGGGAGAAGAATATCGCTCCACTCCGACACACACAAAACGTGGGAGCCCCACGTACATCCAGGGCACCGCTAACAGTTCTATCAGTCCTGCCCTTTCACTGAAAGTTGTTGAAAACAGACCTTGAATACCAGAGATGCTGATGTGGGGGCTGTCACCAGGCCATCTCCTAACAGCCATGCCCTCTCTGCCCTGGTATTCCTTGGCCCATGCCTGGGGAGCTTTGCTGGCTGCTGGGTCCTGGGCATGTAATCTAAATTGGGCCATGGGGCATAACGGGCTGTGAGCTGGAGCTTTGGAGCAAAGGTTGCCGGCACACTTGAGAAGAAATTACCCTTCCTGCCTTTGGAGACAATGGGGAGAGACAGGATGTGATGGTTGGGCAAGCAGTGGCAGCCATCCCGGTACCATGAGGAAATGAGGATGGGGATGAGAAGACAGACAGAAGGAACCTGGGTCCCTAGCGATGATTAGCTGATAGCCTGCTGCTCCTCATGTGGAATGATAAAGACGCTGATTGCGTAATTCACTGTTCATTGGGCATTTTTTTACTTTAGGGCAAAAGCATCCTGTGTTATTCACATAGCAGTGAGCGAGCTGATGCCAGGGGGGAGATATCTAAGTGGAAGCACCCACAGCTAGACGTTGGAAATGGTGCTGCTGTAACAGAGGCCAGCGCTTAAGGCACATGGAATGAACATTTTGAAATGATTCATGATCTTCACGCATGTGAAACTCACACCCCTTTGAGTTTTCTCATATCAGAGTTTTAAGTTTCATGAGGAAGTTGTGAATACAAATACTGAAACACAGTAACTAGACAATAAAATCTTCCTGGAGGATGAGAAGAATACAATCTACCTTTGGTCTGTCTTTTTTTTCTATGACATGTCCACAACTCTTCCATAGAGGGAATTTAAACAGATACGGGGTGGCATTTTAGTCTCAACTGTATCAATAACAAAATGAAAATGGAGCCAGTCAAGGAAGTTAACAGGAGACCTCCAAAAGTAACTCTTCCTGAGATATCATTGTACCACGGAATTGTTAGAAATGAGAAGAAAAACTAGTAACTACGCAAGCTAGCAAACATTAAGCAAGAGGGCAGACTGAAACAAAACAAGACAAAGTTATTTCTGTTCCTCTGAATAAAATACATACATACAAGTGGCCAGGCACAGTGGCTCACGCCTGTAATCCCAGAACTTTGAGAGGTGGAGGTGGGCGATCCCCTGAGGTCAGAAGTTCAAGACCAGCCTGGCTAACATGGTAAAACCCCATCTCTACTAAAAGTATGAAAATTAGCTGGGTGTGAAGGTGGGCACCTGTAATCCAGGCTACTCGGGAGGCTGAGGCACGAGAATTGGTTGAACCCAGGAGGCAGAGGCTGCAGTGAGCTAAGATTGCACCACTGCATTCCAGCCTGGGTGACAGAGTGAGACTCTGTCTCAAAAAAAAAAAAAAAAATATATATATATATATATACATATATATATATATGCACACACATGAAAGAAATTTCACCATCGCAGAATATTTTCCTCACTGAAATGAAAGTTCTAAACCTGTGTTGTGGTTAATAACAACACTGTTGCTGTGGAAATGGCTGTTTCAACATCAGGAGCTCACGGCTGACTCAAGTAAGGTGTGGAACAGAAGTCTCATTTAAACAGCGGCAGGATCCATAAAACATTCAAAAGGCAAACTGGGTGCGGTGAGTCGAAGCACCATATGTTTTAATGCAAGGGTCACACATGTTTTCTTTCTGACGCATGGTACCAGTAGGAGGTTTCTTTTTATTCGTGCTATTTTTAGAACCTTATAATCATCTCAACAACTCCCCCAAATATCCTGCTTCTGTCTACATCTGGCAGCCTCTGTATTTGACTAAATTCATTGTGCTTGGAACATAATTACTATGATTCCGTCCTCGCTGGCACATGAGGGATTATGGCACCAACTGGGGCACAGGCAGGACTTTGAAAAATTTCTGCATGTAAATGAGTCAGTCTATTAAATATAGCAGTACCGGGCTGGACGAGGCCAATCGTCCTAGCATTCTGAGAGGCCAAAGTGGGGGGATTGCTTGAGGCCAAGAGTTCAAGAACAACCTGGCCAACATAGAGAGACCCCCATCTCTATAAAAAAAAAAAAAAATATATATATATATATATATATGTATGTATGGGCTGGGCATGGTAGCTCATGATTGTAATCCCAAGACTTTAGGAGGCTGAGACAGGAGGATCACCTGAGATCAGGAGTTCGGGACCAGCCTGGCCAACATGGTAAAACCCCGTTTCTACTAAAAATACAAAAAAAAATTAGCCAGGCATCGCGTGCATCTGTAGTCCCAGCTACTTGGGAGGCTGAGGCAGGAGAATCACCTGAACCTGGGCAGCAGAGGTTGCAGTGAGCTGAGGTCATGCCACTGCACTCCAGCGTGGGCGACAGAAACTCTGTCTCAATTAAAAATATATATATATAACTCTCTCACAGTACTGAGTTATTCACTAACAGGGTATCACTTCCAGCATATGATCTACCGTGTGCCTACAGCTTTGTAAACTCAAGTATAAACTCAAGTGCAAAGTCCTCAGAGCCGTGAGGACCCAGATCCCTCTGCTCCCAAGAGCCCAGCTCTGCTGTCAGGCCTCTCCTTTTCTCCTCGTCTTTTATGGGTCAGTTAAGAGCTTCCCAAACAATCCTGAAAATCCTCAGAACAACTCCATGGAGAAACCATGTGACTTGCCCGCACCTTCCTTTGGTGATACCCGCCCCCTCCTCTGCTTCCCCTTCCTACTTTTTAACTGAACATGGATGTATTTTTCTTTAAACACACACACACACTTTACCATTATTCTCCTCCAGTTTTCAGAGCCTTTCAAATTATGATTGTTGCTAAGCCAAAAATCTTACCCTTTGTACAATAAAACACATTCAACACATGTTTTAAATGAGGGTGCGGTGTGGGGCTGTTTTAAAAGCCCCCCTTTACCCCCGACAGTGAAGGGCTCTGTACACAGAAGCCCAGATCCCCTCAGCAGTGGGCACTGCCCAGGGTGTGACCGCCCTCTCTGCCTGCACAGGAGAGCGATTCATACCAGCAGAACCGGAAAAATCACAGCTGAAAGCAACCAGGAAAGAAGCGGGGGCCAAGAGAGCAACGTCAAGGAGTTGGATTTTCTGGTAGGTGAGTCACAGGAAACACTCCGGCCACAGTCCGAGGCCCCAGAAGGCCCCGCTTGCCCATCAGGAATGTAGGTCAAACTCCCAGTGGGAAGGGCAAGAGCCCAGACACCCCAGGTAGAAGCTCAAGTTCCTAGGAGAGCCAGGAGGCTAGCCAGAAAACAAGGCCTCCATTTGCCCTCCAGTACCAGCCCCGGCCCACCCTCCAAGCCTCCATTCCCACAGACTGCAGAGAAACAGAATTGCAGCATGCTGGCCCAGCTCTCCACTCTGTTCTGGTCTGGGCTGTCCCATGCCTTTGTATCAGGGTTCACAGGATGGTGAGTGGGCTTTATGTATAAAGGGACAGATACTCACCCAGTTCAGTCGACACGGGGGACCCGGTGGCAATCTCACCAATCTTGGCCACTCCGTCATAGTAGGCTTTTCCTGCCACGATCATAGCTAGACACGAAAGATGACACACAAAACTGTCACTTAGACAAGGAAAGGAGGAAGCGACATGGGTTTGCTTCCAAACACCCCTCAGTCCCTTCTGGCTGCAGGAAGGCTCAGGCCGTGGTAAATGTGGCTCTCAGGAGGTAAGGTCTGCATTGAGAGCATGCCAGGGTGGAGGCCCCCAGCCAAGGGACAGCCCTATGAGACAGATCCTCATCTCTGACCAGCTCCGAGGAACCTTCAGCAGCAGGTGCTCAAAGTCCACGGAAGGCTCTGCTTGCTCCTGACGCCAGTTTCAGACCACTCTGAAACTGAGTTCTGACATTAAACTAGGGATTTGGCTGGGCATGGCAGCTCACACCTGTAATCCTGGCACTTTGGAAGGCTGAGGTGGGAGGATTGCTTGAGCTCAAGAGTTTTAGACCAGCCTGGGCAACATGGTCAAACCCTGCCTCTACAAAAAATACATAAATTAGCCGGGCATGGTGGTATGTGCCTGCAGTCCCAGCTACTTGGAAGGTTGAGGTGAGAGGACCTCTTGAGCCTAGGAGGCAGAGGTTGCAGTGAGCCAAGATCATGCCACTGCATGCTAGCCTGGGTGACAGAGCCAGACCTTGTCTCAAAAATAAAAATAGGCCAGGTACAGTGGCTGAGGTCTGTAATCCCAGCATTCTGAAAGGCTGAGGTGGGCGGATCACAAAGTCAGGAGATTGAGAGCATCCTGGGTAACATAGTGAAACCCCATCACTATTAAAAATACAAAAAGTGGCCGGGCGCGGTGGCTCAAGCCTGTAATCCCAGCACTTTGGGAGGCCGAGGCAGGTGGATCACGAGGTCAAGAGATCGAGACCAACCTGGTCAACATGGTGAAACCCCGTCTCTACCAAAAATACAAAAAAAAAAAAATTAGCTGGGCATGGTGGCGCATGCCTGCAATCCCAGCTACTCAGGAGGCTGAGGCAGGAGAATTGCCTGAACCCAGGAGGTGGAGGTTGCGGTGAGCCGAGATCGCGCCATTGCACTCTAGCCTGGGTAACAAGAGCGAAACTCCGTCTCAAAAAAAAAAAAAAAAAAATACAAAAAGTTAGCCAGGCATGGAGCATGGTGGCATGTGCCTGTAGTCCCAGCTACTCGGGAGGTTGAAGATGGAGAATCACCTGAACCCGGGAGGTGGAGGTTGCAGTCCAGCCTGGGTGTCAGAGTGAGACTCTGTCTCAAAATAAAACTAAAAACAAAAAAAATAAATTGAATGCTCTACTTTTTTTTCTTTTTTGGCAAAGACAAGAAAAAATTTTATTGCTACACAGTGGATTCTGATTATCTTAAAAATAATACTGTCCCCTTCAAACTAATTCTGAAGACTAAATTATGACTATGTGACCTCCTGGGGCAAATTGCTTATCCTTTCTGAACAAAGGTTGCTCATTCTTAAAATGCCCTAAGAATGTGAGCAATAAATAAACAAATGGAAGCTGCTAACACATTTTTTTCACTTTACAATCTAGGTTTGAGGGGCTTGAGGGTATATGATACAGACCCAGACTACTTAATGTCAATTTGGAGAAAAGCATTTCTTTGGAATTTTACTCTTAAGTTTGGTTTCAGACCTAGAAATCAGTTTCCCCTGGAGCTTTGGAGACCACAGTGTTTTGGAGCTAAAAGTGCCCTCAGGAATCCTAGAGGCTACACGAGCTGCCATGCCCCAATGTATAATGGGCAATTGTTTTAACTTGGTGGATTTTATTTTATTTTTTTTGAGAGGCAGGGTCTTGTTCTTTCACCCAGGCTGGAGTGCAGTAGCACGATCATGGCTCACTGCAGCCTCAACCTCCTGGGCTCAAGGGATCAGAAGGCTCACCTGATACCTTCTGCCTCAGTCTCCCGAGTAGCTGGGACTACAGGCATATGCCACCATTCCTTAGTAATTAAAAAAAAAAGTTGAGAGGGGTGGGTGTGGTGGCTTATACCTTTACTCCCAGCATTTTGGGAGGTTAAGGTGGGAGGATCACTTGAGCCCAAGAGTTCGAGATCAGCCTGGGCAACATAGGGAGACCCCATCTCTATTAAAACAAACAAACAAAAAAATCTAGCCAGGCCTGGTGGTGGTGGTAAATGACTATAGTCCCAGCTACTCAGGAAGCTGAAGTGGGAGAATCACTTGAGCCTGGAAGGTCAAGGCTGCAGCGAACCACAGTTGTACCACTGTACTCCAGCCTGGGCAACAGAGTGAGATCCTCTGCTCAAAAAAAAAAAAAAATTTTTTTTTTTAGAGTTGGAGCCCCTCCTGGGCTCAAGTGATCCTCCTGCCTGAGCCTCTACCAAAGTGCTGTGATTTTAGTTGAGAGCCACAGAATTAATTCATGTGCAGGTCCAGCTGAAGGTATGAAAAGCCAAAAGATTAGTATTTTTTTTCTGTCAAAAGATACTACTTGTTTTGCTTTTTGGCAAAGACAGGAAAATTGTAAAAGTTAGGATTTTTACTCTATAGATATAACAACTTTATGAAATGCAATGCTCTACTGTACTATTAAAAGACTCAGAATAACCTTAAAGTGTAATTGTAGAAAGAACAGTAGCAATGAGCATTTATATATGTACTTAGTTAATCTATCCAACGATATTAAGACGTGGGTCGTAACGTAATCAGCCTGTCACACTAAGGGCGGTGGAGTGGAGACATTCTGGGACGTGCCCAAGGTCAACGTTGAGTCAGCAGGAAGGGAAGCACACAGCTCTGGCCGGGCACTTCACTTCCTCAGCTCTAAACGATGGTGCTATCTGACTCTTTAGTCTCAGCTAGAATGAAGAAGTGACTCCCCCAAACACAAGGTGTGTAGCCAGTAAACTGTCAAGTTATAAGATGTAACATCTTAGTGTGAAGATTTTAAGCTGGAAAGTACTGATAATCTGAAAAGCAAATTAATGGGGGAATAGCATGCAGGATTACACAATATTTAAACAAAATTTTTGATTTGCATCCACACATTAAATCAAATTTTTTCATTAATTGTTGACTTACATTTAAAACTATATAACCTTCTTGGTCTTGTAAATATCTTTGCTATTATGATAAAGTTAACTTGAAAATTATAAAATGTAGCCTGAAGAGATAAATAATACTTTCATAATTTTGTCCCCCTTTTGTGGACACATTAAGATATTTTTGGTGGGGCATGGTGGTTCATGCCTATAATCCTAGCACTTTGGGAGGCAGAGGAGGGTGGATCATGAGGTCAGGAGCTTAAGACCAGCCTGACCAATATGGTGAAACCCCATCTCTACTAAAAATATAAAACTTAGCTGGGCATGGTGGTATGTGCCTGTAGTCCCAGCTACTTAGGAGTCTGAGGCAGGAGAATTGCTTGAACCCGGGAGGTGGGGGTTGCAGTGAGCCCAAATCGTGTCACTGCACTCCAACGTGGGTGATAGAGCGAGACTTCATCTCAAAACTGCTTATTGTTTTAAGGAAAGAAGCATACTAGTTACATATATATATTTTTTAAGAGTCAGGGTCTCACTCTGTTGCCCAAGCTGGAGTGCAGTGGTGTGATCATAGCTCACCACAGCCTCGACCTCCTGGACTTAAGCGATCCTCCCTCATGCCACCACACCTGGCTGATTTTTTAGTTGTTCTAGAAACAGGGTTTCATTATGCTGGTCTTGAACACCTGGGCTCAAGTGATCCTCACACCTCAGCCTCCCAAAGTGCTGGCATTACAGGCACGAGCCACTGTACCTGGCCTAGTTTTATGTTAGTGGTTGGTCAAATACTTCATCAGTCTAGACTAATCTATGTGCTTCTACCTGATATTTTTTCCTTAAAATATGGTTTCATCGGGTGAACGTTGTGCTCAAAGCCTTTGGTGGCCTCTCACTGTCCACGAGGTAAGCCCATGGTAGATTACTACAGTAATGCCCTTCCAGGAATCACACCTCCCAGAATTCCCAGCCTGTGTGGTCCCCACCCAGGTGGTGTGGCCATGGGACCTGCTTTGACCCATGGGTCATCAACAGGCATGACTCCCGCAGGGGCTTGAGAGGTGCTGGGCACTGGGGCTTGTATTCTTAGGACGCCACTGCTACTGAGTGTGGACCGAGTCTGGCCTCCTTGAAGGGGGAGAATGAAAGACCCCATGGGGAGAGTGCATTCAACCCATAGCCCCTCACAGGCCCCAGAAGACTGCTGGTGCAGGAGTGAGTCCCGAGGGTCTGGAGAATTGCCCTGCCCTTACAGGAGAAAGAAGAAGCTGTTGCTGTCTGAAGCCACCGGGTTTGCAGGCAGTGATTTGTGCAGCCTGACTAACCCAGCATATGACAAGCTCTGATGTGTGCATTCAAGTGCACAAGGAATCTGACCCTACCCCGCCCACTCCCCAAGAGTGTGCCACCCATGCCAGCATAGGCCCCAGGTCCTGGCTTACTTGCTGTCTTTTTTTTTTTTTTTTTTTGAGACGGAGTTTCGCTCTTGTTACGCAGTCTGGAGTGCAATGGCGCGATCTCAGCTCACTGCAACCTCCGCCTCCTGGGTTCAGGCAATTCTCCTGCCTCAGCCGCCCCAGTAGCTGGGATTACAGGCACGCGCCACCATGCCCAGCTAATGTTTTGTATCTTTAGTAGAGACGGGTTTCACCATGTTGACCAGGATGGTCTCGATCTGTTGACCTCGTGATCCACCCGCTTCGGCCTCCCAAAGTGCTGGGATTACAGGCTTGAGCCACCGCACCCGGCCACTTGCTGTCTTTTACGTGTGTAGCAGTGTGTGCCTGCTGAAACTTGGCATCTGTCAGCTAGCTCAGCTCCTGCAGGGCCTCCAGTTCACACCAACCCACACCACTCATATTATTGTAACGCTGGTCTGTACAATGCTCCTAGCCATTCACCTGTTTACCTGGGTTCCTTTTTTTTTTTAATTTAAATTTAACTTAATTTATTTGAGACAAGGTCTTGCTCTGCTTCCCAGGCTGGTGTGCAGTGGTACAATCAGAGATCACTGTAGCTTCGAACTTCTGGACTGAAGTAATCCTCCCACCTCAGCCTCCTGATAGCTAGGACCACAGGCACATGACACCATGCCCAGCTAATTTTTTTTATTTTGAGGCAGTCTCGCTCTGTTGCCCAGGCTGGAGTGCAGAGGCACTATCTTGGCTCATTACAACCTCCACCTCCTGGCTTCAGGTGATTCTCAAGCCTCAGCCTCCCAAGTTGCTGGGACTATAAGCATGTGTCACCACACCCGGCTAATATTTTTAGCCAAGATGGGGTTTCACTATGTTGGCCAGGCTGGTCTCGAACTCCCAACCTCAGTTGATCTGCCTGCCTTGGCCCCCCAAAGTGCTGAGATTACAGGTGTGAGCTACCACGCCTGACCTGAGCTATTTTTAAAACTTTTTGTAGAGATGGGGTCTTGAACTCCTGGGCTGATGCTATTCTCCTGCCTTGGCCTCCCAAAGTGCTGGGATTCCAGGCATGAGCCCACCATGCACAGCCTGCCTGGTGTTCTAACCTAACTGGGGACTGCACATCTGGCCACCTCAACTATTTCCAAATTCTTACCAAGGACATTTACACATTTACCTAAATTTCTCAATGGCTTCAGCAGAGTCACAACCAGATGGCCTGTAGAAATTCTGGAAATACTTTCTGAAGTACAGAATACTCCCCAAGAGGTGCTAAAATGGTGAGAGCCCTTTGGGGAGAAGGCTTCTTGGCAGGAAACTAAGCTGTAGGCAGCTCACCGACTCACCTTGTAAAACTCTGCCTCAGGGAGGTAGCTCACGACAGAAAGAAAGAAAGAAAAACAAAACTGCAGGTCACAGTGGTTTCCTTCACAAGGACATCTAAAGCAATGACTTTGTGGCCTTGTGACTAAGCAGTCTTCGAGGGAGAGTCAGCAGTGCACAGCTCTGGCTCTCTGGAGGACGGGGGCACCTGCAGAAGTCGCGGGGACTGCTGGAGAGCAAGGAAGAAAACTCCCAGACCTGCCGCACTTCCTGCTGCGTTAGTCCCCGAAAGCAAAGTGAGGCAGAAGACAGGAAATGAGCACTTTGCTTTTCCAGTAACTACACACCATGGTGCGCCTCCTCGCCCAGAGTCCACGGTCTAGCCAGCTCACCCCCTTCCTGGGGCAGGTTCATGCTGAGAGTGTGAGGCCACAGGTTTATTTTCAAAATATCAACAGGGAGCAACCAAAGGTGTAATATGGCAAAAAAGAGAAATAAGAGGCCTGACACGGTGGCTCATGCCTGTCATCCCAGCACTTTGGGAGGCTAAGGTGGGTGGATTATCTGAGGTCAAAGATTGAGAGCAGCCTGGCCAACGTGGTGAAACCCCTCCTCTGCTAAAAATACAAAAAGCGGCTGGGCATGGTGGTGCATGGCTGTAATCCCAGCTACTCGAGAGGCTGAAGCAGGAGAATTGCTTGAACTCAGGAAAGAAAAGAAAAGAAAAGAGAAAGAAAGAGTGGGGGAAGAAGGGAGGGAGGAGGGAAAGAAAGAGAGAGGAAAGAAAGAAGAGAGAAAGGAAGGAAGAGAAGAGAAAAAAGAGGAGAGAGAGAAAAAGAGAAAAAGAGAAGGGGGGAAGGGATAGCGAGAAGGAGGGAGGGGGGAAAGATAAGTAAAAGATGTAAAACTTGATCTGAAGCTGCCTTCAAATCTGTCAGAAACTACATTTTCTTTTCTTTTTTTCCTGAGATGGAGTTTCACTTTTGTTATGCAGGCTGGAGTGTAATGGTAAGTTATCGGCTCACCACAACCTCTGCCTCCTGGGTTCAAGTGATTCTCCTACCTCAGCCTCCTGAGCAGCTGGGATTACAGGCATGTGCCACCACACCCGACTAATTTTGTATTTTTAATAGAGATGGGATTTCTCCAAGTTGGTCAGGCTGGGTCTCGAACTCCCGACCTCAGGAGTACACACGCCTCAGCCTCCCAAATTGTTGGGATTACAGGCGTGAGCCACCATGCCCAGCCAGAAACTGTATTTTCTACTTATGTTACTCGGTAGTCTTAGCGAATCGTGGCAGAGGGTGAACTAGGGTCTAAATGTGTTGGGGTGACGCTACGTTTTGGGGGAGAACTGTATTGAGCATGTTAGAATTTGGTGATTGCTAGCATTTTAAGTTTTTAAGGGGACCACTGATTTTTTTTTTTTTTTTTTTTTTTTTTTTTTAGACAGAGTTTCACTCTTGTTGTCCAGGCTGGAGTAGAAGGGCGTAATCTCGGCTCACTGCAACCTCCACCTCCTGGGTTCAAGCACTTATCTGCCTCAGCTTCCTGAGTAGCTGGGATTATAGGCATGTGCCACCAGGCCCGGCTAATTTTGTATTTTTAGTAAAGACGGGGTTTCTTCATATTGGCCAGGCTGGTCTCAAACTCCCGACTCAGGTGATCCACCCGCCTCGGCCTCCCAAAGTGCTGCGATTGCAGGTGTGAGCCACTGCACCCAGCCAAGAAATTCTTTTATATAAATAAAAGAGAGTAATTTCTGTGCTGTGGGGAATGGACTTATAAATGTCTTGTGTACACACATTTTATATTTGTTGTTAGTTTACCAAGAATTTGGTTTAAAAAGTAGAAAGCACGGTTTGACAGTTAAAATACATCATTTATAGCAACCTCACTATCATTCAAGTGACTTGTTTCAAATACGCTAATATCACTGTGTACTGTCATTGCAAAGTTCTGAGATTAAATTCATTTAAACAATTTTTACCATTTAGAGTTATTTAAAACTTCAATACTATGCATATAAAAATAATTAAATATTTACTATCAATTCAGAAAAACAGACTTACCATTTACGGCTTTCTCATAATTTTTCCCTAGGTTTATCAAATTTCGAAGCCCAGGATTGAACTGTTCCATAACATTCTGACAAACAAACAAACACAACACACTAATTAATAAAATAAACAAACAATAAACCAAGTCATTTTCAGATTTTGTTGCTGTGTGGCCCAAGAGAATGAAGGATGATTAACAGCGCAGTCTACAAAGTAATTAATACTGATTTTATTTATTTATTTTTTTTGGAGATGGAGTCTTGCTCTGTTGCCAGGCTAGAGTGGGGTGGCACAATCTTGGCTCATTGCAATCTCTGCCTCCCGGGTTCAAGTGATTCTCCTGCCACAGCCTCCTGAGTAGCTGGGATTACAGGCGTGCACCACCATGCCCGCTAAATGTTGTGTTTTTAGAAGAGTCCAGGTTTCACCATGGTGGCTAGGCTGGTCTCGACCTCTTGACCTCGTGATCCGCCTGACTCGGCCTCCAAGACAGCTGGGATTACAGACATAAGCCAATGCACCCGGCCTGCTGATTTAAAAATCATGAAGAATATCTATTCCGTTACCTGATGGAACAGAGCTCTCGGCCAGCAAGGTGCCCATAAACCTGGCAGTTCTCAGTTGCCCAAGGGGGTCCCTAGAATCTGCTATAAATGGAGCAGGCAGCAGACATTCATATCTCTACCATACCCTGCAGGGACTGTGGGACTGTGAGCCTGGCATCCTCCTGGGTTGGAGTAGATTGTTAATGGTTGTCGTTCTAGTGTTAAGGAACACCTGTGCAGGGTCAGCCAACTTTACTTAAGTATAAAGGCAATGCTTTGGTTATCAATTGAATAGAAATTTCCAGGAGATTTTGTTTTTACTGTGCCTAATTACGGGGGTGTGGGCATTGATAGCACATTGTTGATGGCCCTAAGACACAGGCAGACCCAAAAAAATTTCTTTTTGGGTATCCCTGGCATTTTTCTTGTTTTTTTTTTTTTTTTTTGAGATAGAGTCTCACTCTGTCGCTGGAGTGTAGTGGTGCGAGCTTGGCTTACTGCAACCTCTGCCTCCCAGGTTGCAGCGATTCTCCTGCCTCAGCCTCGCGAGTAGCTGGGATTACAGGCGCCTGCCACGACACCTGGCTAATTTTTGTATTTTTAGTAGATACAGGGTTTCGCCATGTTGGCCAGGCTGGTCTCAAACTCCTGACTTCAGGTGATCTGTCCACCTCAGCCTCCCAAAGTGCTAGGATTACATGAGTGAGCCACTGCGCCCAGGCTCCCTGGCGTTTTTCTAGTGATTAACTTATTTGCCAAGGACTTGTGAAGTAACTACCATGGCCCAGGCCCTGTGCACATAACTAAGGATGAGAAGGCAGTTTCCCTCTCATGGATTTCACAGTGCAGTCAGTGTACAGGTTTCATTTTAACACGTGCTCTGCCTGTATCACTAGAAAGTCATAAAGACAAATGCTAGGACAGGTATAAGACAAGCAACTATTTAGGATGTTGATCTAAGTTTTAAAATACCCTAACTTTGAAGTACAGAAAATAAATCATTCCTATGGTACCCAGACTTCATGACTCAGAACACGTGGCAACTGTATGTATTTGCTCCATCTAGGAATAAGCTTCATGATATTCATCATCCCAAACACACCATTCAAGTCTCATCAACCCCCTCCCCAAATGCATACTCCATTTATAAATACCAGATGATAAAAAGAATGAACTACCCAATATTCAAAGAGGCAGGTGCTTTACATACATACCTTTCAGAATAAATGAATCAGGAGGAGAGAGAGAACATGACAACCCTCGTTTTTATCAGATAATGATTACAAAAAACAACCCATGCCTCGACCTTTCCATAACCCCTGGTCTTACTCCGAAGAGCACTTTCAACTACACTCCTATTTTTGTATTTATTGCTAAGTTTTGAATATTCTTTTTCTAAAATATTCTTGATTTCTCAATATTGGAGAGTAACTCTGGATTCCTACTACAGTAGATGGGGCCTTAGGTCTTTATACCTCTCACTCTTCCTTTCCAGTGTTTTTTTTTTTTTTTTTTTTTTTTTAAGATGGAGTCTCACTCTGTCGCCCAGGCTGGAATGCAGTGGCATGATCTTGGCTTACTGCAACCTCCACCTCCCAGGTTCAAGCAATTCTCCTGGCCTCCCGAGTAGCTAAGATTACAGGTGCCCACCACTATGCCAGTTAATTTTTGTATTTTTTTAGTAGAGATGAGGTTTCACCATGTTGGCCAGGCTGGTCAACACTCCTGACCTTGTGATCCGCCTGCCTTGGCCTCCCAAAGTGCTGGGATTATAGGTGTGAGCCACTTCCCCTGGCCTTCCAGTGGACTTTCTATGCAATTAGATGGCAATTTCCTGATGAATCAATAGTCGGTGTTCATTATGACTTTGTCATAAGGGTGATGGTTTCCTTTCTTGGTAAAGCCTTGCTGTTTTTCCTGGGATGGACAACCGCTTCATTCTGCCCACCCCACCACCTTTGCCTAGTTTTCTATTTATCCGTGTTAAATTTGTCCCCATGCTGTATTAGACTTGGCTGAGGCCTATCAATACTATTTTTCAAATGTACAAAACCCTCAGCTAACCTCTCGTGCTGTTGTTTCCCCCAGCCTTCCTCTAAGGACTCTCTACCATCCTGCTCAGTCTGGCTTGACTGTCACTGTTGACCTAGCATGGCCGTTCTGGTGGCCTGTGGCAGAGCTCGTTAGCCAGGTCCACGTCTCCCTCTTTCTTCAAAAGGGAGATCACTCTCCAAAAATGATCTAAGAACTGATGCATGAGAGGTAAATGAGTCCCTATGTGTCTGAAATTACCTTTACCTTGACATTTGTTTGCTATTGCGCTGAGTAGAGCAGTGTAGACTGAAACTATTTTCCTTAGAAGTTTTAAGATATCCTTTGGTCAGGTGTGGTGGCTCACGCTTGTAATCCCAGAACTGTGGGAGGCTGAAGTGGGAGGATTGCTTGAGCTCAGGAGTTTGAGACCAACGTGGGCAACATATTGAGACCCCCATCACTACAAATAATTAACAACATTAGCCAGCTGTGATGGCTTGTGCCTGTGGTCCTAGCTCCCTGGGAGGCTGAGGTGGCAGGATCACTTGAGTCCAGGAGGTTGAGGCTGCAGTGAGCTGTGATTGTACCACTTCACTCCAGTTTGGGTGACAGAGTGAGACCTTGTCTCATGGAAAAAAAAACATAGATATTACTCCACTGTCTTTAGCATGTGGGTCTGCTGTTGCAGTCAGCTGTCGGTTCCTCCTACATGACTTTTTAACGCTTATTTCCGGAAGCCTCTTTATTCCTGTGTTCTGTAATTAACTGCACCATGGTCTCTCCCAAAATTAGGGTTTTTGTTTTGTTTTATTTTTCCATTTATTTTACTGGATACTCAGTGAGACCCCTAGCCATGTGGAAAGTTATGTCTTTCAAGCCCAAATATCGTTCCTATTTCTTGTCTCTTCATTCTTTCTGGAACTCTGATGAAGATTTTATATATCCTGGGTTTATAATCATTTTTGATTTTCCACTTTGTGTATTTTTGTTCTACAACTCTAACAGATATCCTCAACTTTATGTTCCAATTCTATTTTTTAATTTTATATATTTTTAATTTTTAAGAGCATGTTCATGTTTCTTGATTGCTTTTTTTGTTTTTTTGAGATGGAGTTTTGCTCTGTCGCCCAGGCTGGAATGCAGTGGTGTGATCTTGGCTCACTACAACCTCTGCCTCCCAGGCTCAAGTGATCCTCCTGCCCCAGCCTCCCAAGTAGCTGGGATCACAGGTATGTGTCACCATGCCTGGCTAATTTTTTGTATTTTTGGTAGAGATAGCATTTCGCCATGACGCCCAGGCTGGTCTAGAACTCCTGAGCTCAAGCAATCCGCCCACCTTGTCCTCCCAAAGTGCTGGGATTACAAGTGTGAGCCACCACACCCAGCTTTTTGATTGCTTCTTTTTAGAAGCACCCTCCTGTTCTTGTTTTATAGATGCAGTAGCTTCTCCTGCCTGAATTAATTATAATTTTTGGTGTGTTTTATTCCAGTTTCCATATCATCTCCCTATTACCTTTCATTGTTACTATCCCTGTCTTTCGTGTTACTATCCTCACATGGCTGGTGATCCCTGATGGTCAGTTCGTATTTAGGAGTGAAGCCCCTCACTGCCAGCTGGAAGCTGTGGGTGTGTGCACAGCGGGGTGGCTGCCTTGCTGGCTTCATTTCCAGCCAATAGCTGCTCTACAATAATCAGACGCCACTGGGTTTCTGCTGAGAGGTTTCTATTTTCCTCTCATTGGGTGGGGGACAATCATTAGGTGGTCAGCTTTCCCAGTCAGGAAGGGGGTTGGAACCACACAGTTCAGAGCTGTGCCCAGGTAATTAAAAAACAATTTTTTTTTTTTTTTTTAGAGACAGAGTCTTGCTATATTGTCCAGGCTGATCTGTCCACAGCTGTTACTTCTGTCATCTCTTCTCTTTTCTTCGGAGACTTTTTATTTTGAAATAGTTTAAGACTTGTAAGAGATGTAAAAATAATATACAGAGTTCCCAGGTATGCTTCTATATGTGGTATCTGCTACAACTACAGTATATTATCAAACCAGGAAGCTCACACTGGTACAGTACTACTAACCAAACTACAGGCCTTATGTGGATTTTCCCACTTTTTGCATCTCTTATTTTGCGGGGAGGGTTTTATCATTTCTTTTTTTTGAAACGGAGTGTTGCTCTGTTGCCCAGGTTGGAGTGCAGTGGCGTGATCTCAGCTCAATGGAACCTCTGAGTCCTGGGTTCAAGTGATCCTCCTGCCTCGGCCTCCTGAGTAGCTGAGATTACAGGTGCTCACCACCATGCCCGGCTACTTTTTGTACTTTTAGTAGAGCTGTGTTGGCCAGGCAGGTCTCAAACTCCTGACCTCAGGTGATCCACCTGCCTTAGCCTTAGCCTCACAAAGTGTTGGGATTACAGGTGTGAGCCACCATGCCCGCCGGGTTTCATCATTTCTATGAAACTTTATGATATAAGTAGATTGGTATGACCATCACCACAAGTAAAATATGAAAGT